CCCCCCCCCCCCCCCCCCCCCCTCCGCCGCCCCTCCCCGTGTCTCGTCCATCACATTTGCTGGCCGTTTCTTCCTCTCTCTCTCCTCCCTCACCAAACTCCCCCGTGGGACACGCTTGGCGCACGCAGGCGTGATCTTGTACATCCTGCTCAGCGGGACGCACCCGTTCCACACGACCACGCTCTTCGACCAGATCACCCACGCGCACTACAGCATGACCGGCGAGGAGTGGGAGCACATCAGCACCACCGGCAAAGACCTGGTGAGCAAGCTCCTTACCGAGAGCCCCGACGATCGTCTCACGGCCGATCAGGCCCTGGCGCACCCGTTCATCACGGGGCGAGCAGCCGCCGCCGCGGCCGCGGCCGCCGCCGCTCCTTCGGGCGCGGGGCCCGCCAACTCCGCTGCTGCTACTGCTGCTGCTGCTGCTGCTGCTGCTGCTGCTGCTGTTGCTTCTTGTACTTCCGCCACCGCAGCAGCAGGCGAAGCAAATTCCAAGTCGACCGAGGCGAAAAAGGAGGGAAGCGGCGTGGGTAGACCGGCGGTAGCAGTACCGGCGGCACGGGAAGAGTCGTCGGCGCTTCCGGCGACAGCGGTGGCGGCGGCGTTAGCCGGCGGCGCATTTTCTGCCGGCAGTGAACGAAGAGATCAGGGCGACGACGCGGTGGGCGTGGGAGGCCACGCAGGAAGAGCGGCAGTAGCCGAGGCGGCGGCGGTGGGGCGGAGCTCTAGCCAGGACACGGACGTGTCGTCCACCAGCGGTGCGGAGGACGCGTCTCCGGCGTCCAAGGAGAGCTTCTCCCCGACGGAGGGCGGGGGTGCGTCGGCGAAGCCGGTTCCTTCGTCGTCGTCGTCGTCGTCGTCCGCGACGGCGAGGTCTCCCAAGGACAGCAGGTCTGCCTCCAAAGACGCGGCACAACCGCCCCCGAGGGGCTCGGCGCCAGAGTTACCGCCACCCCAGCCGAGGGAGCCGGTGAAGGCTGCCGGTGGCGGCGGCGGCGGCGGCAGCGGGCAGGGGAGAGGCCGCAAGCGTGCCAAGAGAGACGGCGGCGCCGGCGACAAGCAGAAGCCCCCGGCTAGGTTTTCTCAGCTCCAATGCGTCCGAGTGGTGAGCGGTGGGGATCAAGGGCCAGGGGCCGGTTGTTCTTCCAGCCAGGACGCAGCAGCGGCGGAGGACTGCAACGGGGTTCGCCCGAGTTCCACCCCGACGGGGGCGGGGTCTGCCGCTTCCAGCAATGGAAAGGGAGGGGCGGGTCGGGCGGCGGGCGGGAAGGCGGCACCACGAGCCCAAGGGAGTAAGGCACGTCTGAACGGGCGAGTTGCCGGGGCAGATAGCCCTGCCGCCGGAACGACGGGGAAGCGGAAGGCGGCAGCAGCGGCGGCGGCGGCGGCGGTGGGCGGCGGAGCCCAGCGTCCGGCGGAGGGGAGGGTGTCCACGCGGCATTCCCCGCGTCGTGCTGGTCGCGGCGGCGGCGGCGGCGGCGGCGGCGGTGGTGCGGTGAGCGCCGCCGTCGAGAGTGTCGCCGCGCCCGGTAGCCTCCCGGCTGACGACGAGATCATGGAGTACAGCAGCGATGACTCGCCCGCCAAGGGGAAGCGCGCGAGGGTGTGCCGGGCACGGCAGCAACAAGAGGCGGTTGCTGCCGCCGCCGCTGCTGCTGCCCCCGCGGCGAGATCAAAGCGAGCAACCGGAGCGCAGGCGGGGCGGAAAAGAGCCGCCGTAACAGCAGCGACGCCGGCATCGTCGGTGGCGCCGGAGGTGGCTCAGAAACCAGCGGGGAGACCGAACGCAAGAGCGCCACCTCCTGCCCCGAAACAGCAACAGCAGCAGCAGCAACGGGACACAAAAGGTGGCAAGCAGATGCACCTAAACTTCGGCGGCAGCGGGAAGCTGAACCTCTCCAAGCAGGGTCCTCCTCCTTTGGCGGCGCGAGCAAGCGCCGCAGGCGGCGCTTCTTCTAACGGTAGTGGTAGCGCCACCGACGCCGGGGAGCGGGGACGACCGAGCGGCGACCAGGCGGCCCAGGAGGCGGCCGGAGGAGCGGCTGCAAAGGTGGAAGAGTCGGTCGGGGGAGGGGGGCCCGCGGGCGGCAGCAGTGGCAGTGCTTCCAGCAACGCGGTTAGCGCAGATGGCGGCAAGGCCGGGCATGGTGGTGGTAGTGATGATGGCGGCAAGAAGCAGACGAAGGGAGGGAGCAAGCCTCAGCGCACGATGACGCACTTGTGGAAGCGAGCGGGCGCCGGACAGGCGTGAAACACACACTTAAGACATGGTGGCTCTCGGGGTGGGCGGAGAGGCGGGGAGTGGTTATCTTTCTCGCTAGCGCGACAGTGCTCGTTTCCTCGCCGCTGGTTTGTTTGTTGGTCTGTGTCATGTGTTTGGTTGATGGATCGATAGTTTTATCTACGAAGGATGTAGATAGTCCTGGAGCTGTTCTTTGTATGAGGGGTGGAAAGCGATATTTCGGTGTTGCTCACTGAAGGCTAGTGGGTTCGGTCGGGTCCTCGATAAAAATCCCCCCGCACACCTTGGTGGTTCCATACATTTGCGAAGTGATTTTGGGCGTTTTAAGGTGCGTAATGATAAAGTCTTGTTTTGATTGTCGTTGTTTTCCTTTTGGTGATTTGTTCTTCGGTCTGTCTAAGTTTGTGGGGGGGGTGTTTTGTCAACACCTGCCATCATGTGTCGTGTAGGGTAGTGGCTTTAATTTGTTTGTTGGGCGTCCGCGCCCGCTTTAATGGTTTCGCACGCTACACAGGTGTTTTGTTTCTGTTCCTTTCAGGGGGTCCCGGCGATTAGGGGGGGGGGGAGGCCGTAGCCGTTACTGTAGTGTGTCCCCTGTTTAATACCATATAACTGCATGTTTGTGCCCCCCCCCGCCCCGCGCCCCGCAGTCTATGTCCCCCTTTTTTCACTCAGGGGGTCTCTGGAAGCTGTATCATACTTATGGCGGATAGTGTGACTGCTGTAGTTGACATGTAGTGCCGGCCGACCAAGCCGTGCGAATCGTTCGTGGCATTGAAGCAACGAAAAAATGGAGGCCTCCCTTTTTTTGTCGGAAGGGGAGGATGTAATGTAGTCCGGCGTGGTCGGGAAGCGGGTGGTGGGGGTATAAGAGCTGAGCTTGTGACCGCGAGCCAACATAAATGCGTCGAGAGTTGCGGAGTGGGCGTGGGTTGCTGTACTTTTTTTCAGCACACGAATTAGAGACCCTGCGATAGAGGGGAGGGTGGCAACCGTGGTGACTGGAAGACTGTGTGGAGACTAGCTAGCGGAGATAGTACGGCGGTGGAATAGTGTCCGGACGGCGGGCGGGCGGGCGGGGGGGGGTGATGTTGTTCGTGCTCGCGATCGCCTGCGTGACTCCTTCCCTACCTGGGTGGCGTATTTGATCAACGTGTGTGTGCGAAGCAGAGATAACGACGCAGGGTGTCATGAATTCACAGGGCAGTCATGTCCCTCTCTACCCAGAATTACACCACGGTGTTATTCTATTGGTTTAATATCGGTGCCGCTGAACTCTGATTGGCTTTAAAGATACTTGGGCGGGGTGTGATGTCACCACCTTGGGTCGAGATGTGATGCTATTACGAGAAAGACCCTCCCCTCCTTTGGCGGCTGCTGGTCACGGCTTTACTTTTGATTGGGCAGCTCTTCGACCCTCCCCCTAGTCTCTCTCTCTTGTGGCACCTTGACAGCCGGAGACCTGGTCGAAACTGCTGTTGTTGTTGTAAACATTCCTTCGTGGAATCATCTGCACGATAGCAGTAGCCTGCGCCGTTCCAGGCACCGCGTCCGTTGTAGCAGGCACTTTCTTAGGACCTAGGACGGGACGACGGTTGGTTGCAGCACCACCAAATCCAGCCCAAAGTTGCCAACACGCCTCAATATTAATCGAAGGCGGCTGCGGCGCCCGCCGGGAGCGAGATCACCGTAGCACCGTACCAACACCAATACCCGGGACCGAGAGTGCCGTACCGAAACAGGGCGGTGTCTCGTCCCGACGAGCGACTACCGGGTTGCGTGTAGGTGGAGGCGCCCCTCGTGGGCCGCCGCTCCCACAGCCCAGACAAGACCCAGTGTTGGCGTCCCGTGGACACTTCTCACGGGGCGGGGGGGGGGGGGGGGGGGGCCTTGGGGGGACCCCCAACCCCGCCCCCCTTTTTTTTTTCCCGGGCCCCCCCATGGGGTTTAAAAAAAAAACGGGGGAAAAAAAAGGGGCCGAAGGGGTTTGAAGGGGCGGTCCCCCGCTCCCTTTAAAAAACCCGAACCCCGCCATTTTTTTAAAAACAACTAAAGGGAAACCCA